GCAACACCCAAACCCACACATCTCTAGATCATTTCAATTCAACCAGATGTGGGAATCTTTCTTCTTACTTCTTTTTTCCCCCCCTCTATTTTTCCTCTTCTTTTTCTTTTTTTTCCTTCTTTTTTTCCCCCCAGCCTACACTGAAGTGCACTGCTATCGTGCTGAATTTTATCATTCTGTGATAGACCTAGTTCATTATAATAATAACAGACGTAATTAAATATAAACTCTTTTCTAGCAAAGCTATGCATGGGCAAACCGAGTGTGATGAGGCCAGAGCTGGGGGTTCTCTGGCACAGGTTGGTGCAGGAGCGGTGACCTACGTAACGTGTTCATTGAGTTACCTGGCGACAGTTAAATAGCTTGTGCACCGGTTTGTTAGTGCTTCTTTAGCAAAAAGGACACACTGTGTGGACACAGCACAGGATTTTTCGACAAAAATTCAAAATAAAATTCACTTTGGGGGTGGATTCATTCCCAGATAAAGTCACCCCTAGTGTGTGAGGCCAGAGGTAGGCTAATCACGTTTGCCTTATTCTGAGCCCTCTTGAATTTGCCAAAATGTGATTTGGAATGAGTAGAAGAGAAAAGGGGAGGGGAAGGAGATGCCTTTAAAAAACAGAGTGGAAAGTATGACTGGCAAGGGGAAAAGCAGGTACATAAAATTGTGGAGGACAAGAAGATGGAGAAGGAGAAACCCCAAGAGAACACTGACTGCGTGTGTGCATGAAAGTAATTTCTTTAGATTTAGCAGCACCCAGCTTGTACAAGTTGTAATTTAAATAGATTGAAAAGATAATGCTGAGGAGTACCAGGTTAGATGTTATCCTGTTAATTAAGCTGCCATTACAGAGTTTTTACAAGCCCCCCAAAAATCATTCCCCACTTAAAGTGATTGATACCTCCTGAAGAGAGGATTAGCCACCCATGTCAGCTCTAATATAGGGCAGCACCTTCTCCTTAAGGAGAAAGCTCCCACCTACCCCGTGCTTTTAGTCTGAGTCATCCTGGGGGAGAAAAATCACACTTCAAAGTACAAAATAATGGATCAAGTAATTAATTTTTTTAAATTGCTAGAGAAGTTTCTCCAAAATTAAATTCCATCCTGTTTCTTCTCATCTCCGAACCTGAATCCTTCACTTCTCTATCTAGAACCATGATTGCTCTGGGTCTAGTTTGGGTTTAGCTGTCTAGTACCAACATTGCTTTGCCTATATGTCATGTAGGCACCATGGTCCCAGTTAGATGATGTGAACCCATGTACTTCAGTTCTGTGCTGAGAGGTACCATTAAAAGGCATTTTTTTATGAGTGGTAGTCTGGTAGTTCCATCTTAAGAATCTGTGGCCTCATTTGTGCTTTTAAAATAAATTAACCAGTGACAGAATTGGTTCTCTGGCCCTAGGACCTATGGGACAATCTGACCGTGTCTGCAAAGCTGAACTCTCGTAGCCTCCAGAGAGATGGCTGTGTTCACACTGCTGAGGGACAACACGGGTTATGTCAAGCCACTGGGGATCATCTGGAAGGGTTCAAACCCAAACCCTACCAGGGACCCTTCTTATCGTTAAAAGCATAAAAACACCCTACCCAGTTATTGCTTGTGCCTGTGCCCCGGCGCTGCTTACAGGGATGGAGGCAGATGTGGTTCTGGGTTGCAATCAGGGCATCTGAGCCACAGTTTCAGCTCTGCCAGAGGCTTTTTGTGTGACCCTGGTCGGTAACTTAGGGTAAGATTCATTCCATCTAATGTCGACTACCGGTGAGGGTGTCTAATTAAACTAGTCGTGTGTGCTCCCTCTCTGATCAGAGAAGGAAGAGAAAGCAAATTCAGAAGGTGAATCATCCCGCTTTAAGACTGGTGTCAGAGACAAATGAGATGAATTGCCCTCTGGAAGTAGCTATTTCTTTCCATTAACTGTAGAGGAAGTCTACATTAGAAGAGTTTAGACTAGATGCCTGATTTATGAATGGCTAAAGTTAAGTAAAATTAGTCCTGCCCTTAATCTCCATGCACACCTGTTTCTCCATAAGTTGAATGATAGAAATAACACCTTCTGCACCTCACATTCAAAGGTGCCATTGGGCGAGGAGCATCCTCTAACTACTTTGGAAAGAAATTAAACCTAGGAGAAAAAAGACACCAATTAGGAAAGTAAACGTCTCAACGATGGTATGAGCGGTACCAGTTGGGGTATCTGCTGATTTTGCCATTTTTCCCCCTCTACATTTTGTCAGCCGAGCACCCCTAAATGAGTGTTCCTAATGCAGCCATACGGCACGAGGGCAGCTAGCCTGGTTTTGGGGAGGGAAGTAGGAGCACTGAGGAAGGGTGCCCATCCATGCAAGGCAGCATAGGAGTCAGTCTTGGCCAGCAGCTTTGAAGGTTTTCCATGCGATCCCGCTCTTCTCAAATGACAGCGACTATTTGTTCTTTGGAAAATCTCCCAGAGAAACGAAAGCTAATGACTAACTGCGACAGAGTTAAAGAAAAAAAATAAGGGGAGAAAAAAAGCTTGCATTTTTTCTCGCAAAAATCCACAACATATAAACCAGGCGTGGAATAGTTATCCCACTTGATAGCTTGTACTTACATACGAGGCTTGCTTTTGGAAAAGAAAGTTTGCCCCTTTAACTGCCTAGTGTAGTTAAAGTGGCAATTAAAAAAAAAAAAAAAGACAAAAAAGACCTTGTGTGGGTGTCCTCATAAGTGCTTATTTTGACCCAAATTGCAACATGTTACACATCTGTATGGGCACAGTTGTACTCAATAAGGCTTTCACCAGCACAACCATGCCCAAAACACGTATCACCCCACCCATGTCGCTGTGTTATCGGGGGTAGCTGAGATACCTATAAGTCCATTAAAGCTAATAACAGGTCCTCAGAGGCCATTTTGGGGTTTTTTTGGGGGGTGTGTTAAATTACTAAATCTTGTTATTAACGCTTTTATTTTATGATTTGCTATTTCCAGGGCACAGACAGAAGCTTGATGACTCTAAACCTAGTTTGTTCTCTGAACGCCTCAGTGATTTAGGGCGCATTCCTCATCCCAGTATGAGAGTAGGGGTCCCGACCCAGAGCCCACGGCCCTCTCTGAACTCTGCACCAAGTCCTTTTAATCCACAAGGACAGAGTCAGATTACAGGTAAGAGACAGAACCATAGGTTTGACTTGCACAGGCAATGGTAGCAATTGCTTATGGATATTTGTGTCTCGACTGCAGCAAAGGAGGCTGTGACAGAGTGAGAGATGTGTTCCAAGCAAAGCTAGGTGGGAAGTGGATTTTTCTATAGTGTTTGAAGCTGAAAATGTCTTTCTTTTTTTAAAAATATCTTTTTGCCCTAAAACCAAAATAGTCCAAAACCGTCAATCTGGGTAAATTAAGTAGGAATCTGGTGAAATTCTAACTGCCACATTGCTCTGCCTCGTCCCCCACGTGTGCAATAGTACATATTAGGATGAACGTTTTTATGCAGTGTTTTTATTTTGCACTGGTGTTGAGGGAAGCGGCCAGCATTTAGAGGTCTTTCAATTGGAATAATACTACAATCTCCTCACGTGGCGGTTTCCTTCTAGCACCAGTGCTGGCCACTGTTACAATAAAACAAGTGGGTTATGGAGAAATCTCCAAAGGTTACTTGTGAGGGTTGTATGCAACATTTATGATTGCATGCTGAGAGACAGATTTCATTGTGCTGAAAGAAATCATAAAGTCCCATGTGTGACAGATTATAAGACCGAAATAAGATGTTTAACTGCAGCTCTGCCAGAAGTCTGCAACAAAACTCTGAAGCCTACAAAATAAACCAATGTTGTCATTTTTTCTAAATTCAGAGCTGGTTATTTTTTTTTCAAAAGAGGGTCAAAACAACCTCTACCTAATTTTGGCCATTCCTACATTGAAAACTTCTGCTGACATATTTGTGTCTATCCAGGATGTGAAGAGGTGTTGCCCCTAAGCAATTCACTTGCTAGAACTGCTGGAGAACTTCACCTAGACACAAGTCCATCAGGAAAACTCTTGGAGCAATTTACTAGACTAGTTTAAAACTCAGTTTTGCTGCTCTAGTTGCATCTCTACCAGGAGACCTTTGCCAGTCTTACATACCAGTATTCCTTCACTGGTAAAGCACTCCTAGTTATAGACATAGTCTTTGAGTCAACCTAGGAAGATTTCTGGTTTCATGTTTCAAGTGGTTTTGACAAGATACCAGCTGAAACTTAGCGGTTTTAACAAAGTGTTGTGGCTTTCTTCTTCTTTCTTTTTCTTGTTTTTTAAGTTCCACTGGTTTATTAATTTGCAGTAAGAAAGAGAAGTAAGTGGGCTAATTTGAACCCAAAGCACTCAGAGAATTGAAACAAAGAAATTGTTCCCATGAGCTGTGGCAAAGTTCTCCCAGATCTAGAAGTCTAGCTTTAACTAGAATAAATTATAATAATCTATTAAATGTGTCGATAGTACCCATTGCAAGGTACCTGCTGCCCACCAGCTTCCCAGCGCAGGTTCTTTGGCCAGGCTTAGTGTTTTATTAGTTGGACATGTGAAATCAGGGCTCTTGTGCGTTATCATTTTCTGGGCAAGAACTGCCAAACTAAAACCTGATATTTTTTCCTAACCTATTGTCTTCTGTTTGGCAGCATTTGGGGATGTAGTTCCTGAGAAAGCAGGGGGAAAAACTGGGGCTATAATCAGCTTTTTTCCTTCTTTGTGCCTCCATCGTTTACCTATTGTGCAACACTATATCTAGGAACGAAGGAGGGTGAAATTCTTCCTGACCCCATCTGGTGATCAGCTTATGCCCTGAAGCACGAGAACTGAGATCCCCTTGTGATTTTCTTCCTAGCTAAGTGTAACCTCATATGCTGCTCTCATTCACGTAAATGCCTCCTGTAGAAAATGTTCTGCTGGGTTTGATTAATAGAGTACTTCTCTGCCTCGTTATGAATCAGCAGCAGCATTTACAGATCCGGGAGGTGAAAACTTCACATGAGCTTTAAATAAGCCTGACTGGAAAGAAAGCTGTGTGGCATTCGCTGTCTTCTCTGCAAATTTAGGAGTCAGCAGTTCAAAGTACCGGCTGAGATTTCACTGAGAGAGGGAAGACGCGGTGCTGGTAGGGCAGAGCGAGGCGAGCCGAACCGAGGAAGGCAGGTTGACTTTCCCACCTATTGTGGATTCTATGCTTTTCTTGCCGGATGAACTCATGGCTGTGGGATACTTTAGAATCTCAAATTGCTCTCATTTCCCCCAAAGCAGTGAGGACTCGGCTGCTTATTGAAGTTTGCGGTTAATATGGGGCTGTACTGTGGTCCAACACAGCGTTTGCCCTGTTATTCCCCACCCTTGCCTCCTCCACAATTTAGAAAAGTCAAACACCCAGCCCTCAAAGGCAACTCGTTAGCTTTCTGGTAGTCCTCCCATTTAATAGGGTGATTAGTGTGAGCATGTTACATGGGTGCGAGCTCTGAGAATTGCGCTGGCTTCCCCACAAGACTTTTTGGTGCTCTTCAGGACGGTGATTGTAATCTGTAAAGCTCTACATGCTTTGATGTTCCACCAAAGCACTGGGATGCTTTTTGCGGACAGTCCCTCCGAGTTCTCCTGGGATGAATGGACGCTCGCTGCCGCACAAACCGTGCCAACGAGAGACAAAGTTGATGCCGCAGACGAGGCACCTCTTTGATCAGGTGTTAGGTGACCATGGGAAATTGCTAAATGTCCGCCTGTTTGGTGTGGTGGTAGGGAGTGAGCGGCTTGGGCTGTCCATCTCCACCAGTTTCCTTGTTGTGGTGCGATACTCAGTGGGAATTACTCACTGGCGTCTTGACACGGTCACTGGGCTGGTATGGCTTGGGTATGTATTAAAAGGAGAATAGACCCTTGTCTGAAAAACAAGGATTTTTTTATTACCTTTATTGGAATTAACCAAGCATTCCTTTAGAAATACCTTTGTTTCTTAATCTTTTTACCTAGTAATTTAAGGGAAAATAATTAATTCCTAATAACTTTAACAGTAAATACTGGTTTCCTATGACAAAATCCATACTGTTGCTAGTAAGCACATAAACTTTTTTTGTTTCATTCCACCTGAGGTCTTGCATAGCTATTGAGTGATTAAAGCAAATAATATTTAAAGCCTGGCTCACCCACACCTGAGCCTGAAAGAACTCAGCACTTTGGGGTTCACTCTTGTATTTCTTTTCTCTGTCTAGGCTGTGTTTATTTTCCTAGAGTATCAGAGTGCAGGTTTTACAAATCACAGCCCAGTCAAACCTACCAGAGGACTGGGGCTGTGGCGGTACACAGCACAGAGTTGCCCTTATTCAACATGGCATTTTAACTAGGATTCTGCAAAAGCAACATCGAAAGGTCATTAAAAAACAAATCGTCCAATAAGCAGATGCCTTTGCTGAGGCAATGCAGATTCAATTTGAACCCCACTTGCTGCCCGTAAATCAGGAATCCTGTCCGTTCACATTTGGATACTGGTATATTTGCTTTTTTATTTTTTTCCCCTTTCCCTAACGGCACTCGCCCAACTCACTCGTGTATCCGATTACGCTCCCGTTCAGACACGGAGCTGTTGCATCAGTGCTTCAGTATGAAACGAGGAAAACTGTTGTTTTTCTAAAACGCAACCCGTGAGGATTAGCTTCCGTCAGCCAGGAAAAGCCACGGGCGTAATGGCAGGAATGTGGTCGGCGTGAGGACCCCGGCGGCTGGGCTGCGGAGACTGTGAAGTGGGAGTTAAGTGAGGTTTCATGCTCCATCACCACTGTGGCACCGTCTGATCTATAGGCAACCTGTGACTTTCATCACTGGAATAACAGCACTCAAAAGCAGGTCCCGTGAAGTCTTTTTTTTTTTCCTTTTCCTCTTCCCCTCCCCATGTACTTCGGGACATTACGCTTTCGTTTCTCATCATTTTTAGGATTGTAGGAAGCAGATTTAAAGGCTTTAGAGCTGGCTTACCTGGGAGTTAGCAAGGGGACACTTCTCCACTGGCAGGCAGGGACTGGTTGCAGGGACAGCATAAATTGGGTCTGCTAGGAAGACCCTGAGCAGAAAGCACCTTCGACTCTCAGGTGGAGGATGGGGATGGCACCAGCTGGGCCGTTAATTCCCCCATTCAGGACTTGCAGGCAACGGGCTGGATGCTGCCCTTCTGCAGAGTCGGGGGGAAGGCAGAAAGCCGTCTTCATCACGGCGCTGGGCTGGGCTCTGGGTATGAAGCTGTGCGACATCTGCCTCAAAGACCAGGGTCTGTTCTCCAAAACCATCAGCTGCAGGGCAGGTTTGAAACAAAAACTGTGTCGCTGGTATTAGACCGGCGCTATGCAAGCACCCTGCCAGGGGTTGGCTGTGTTTTACCTGGGACCAGCAGCACGCTGAGGCACACACCAGTTGGTAGCTGGTGCACATCAGTCTGAGACCGCGTTAGACAAAGTACATGGTTGCCTGGAACAGGTAATTCAGAAATAGCCCAAGTAATAGGCTTATAGGGTGGATTATGCCTACAGCCCACTGTAACGTGGAATAGAAGCTACAAGGCTCAGCGGATGAGGTGACGGAGCTGGGATTTCTGCTGCCATGAACACAGGGGTGGCTGCCGTCTGCTGTGTTTTATGCAAATTGATTGCATCCTCCAGGCGACTGGCGAGTTGCCATTGCGAACCTCCATTTGGTAAAGCTTGTCTCCCTCCTATAAAAGTATTCTAGTATTCTTTTAACTTTATTCCCCCCCTCCCCCGGCTTTACAATTTAGTTGCCCTACTGGCATGACTTGTTCAGTTTATTTTTTTCTTCTTTTAGAAATGTGACTCTTGGGGGAGTGGGGGGTGGGTGGGAGGAGAAATGGCTTTAGAGGTTCTTCAGGCCAAAATCTGGTCTCAATTACGCTTCTGTACATTGGGGTGTAACTCCATTGGATTTGACTTCACTGATTGAACTGGGCAATCCAGATCAAGCCTTGGCCTTTTAAAGATGCCTGAGGAATAGTTGGAGAAGAGAAGGAGGTTGCATTTTTGTTGTTGTTGTTTTGCTGGGGATGGTGGTGTTACAACAATAGTTGGGTTACTCATGCAGAAAGTCGTCTTGGCTTTGTTAAGATCAGAAGTGAAGATATTTGGTCTGTTTACCCAAGATAGCTCCAGACAGTTTGTTTTTTAGTATCGGCAGTAGCACCAATACAATCAGCAGCAGCCAGTGCTAGAGCTGGTGGCTGGATTTAAATGAGAGTGGTTTTGCAAAGAGCGTGCACGCATGTGACGTTGGGGTGTTATAGACGGTACAGAGAGGAGCTGCGAGCCTGTGATCATGCTCTGATCATGTAACTCAGCTTGGGAAATGAGAAATTGATTTTTTTTTTTCTATAGTAAATCTGTGTGCTTCATAATCCAGTGCCAAAGCAGTGGAAAATCTCATTCTTCAGGGCTATTTATGAGTTTTTATTTCTCTCCGTTGACACTTAGAACATTTCCATTGAAGGAAGAAAAGTCACGTTGCTGGAGAGCCAATGTCATCACTGGGAGAACGGGTCGCTGGGGTTTTTTTTCATTGTTTCTTTTTTTTTTTTTTTTTTTTTTATACAGTGCATCCAATCTTTGACTGATTTTTAAAACCATTTATTGCCCATTAAACATCAATGTCCCTTGCCCATTGACGCAGTCAATCACAGACCACAGGGGTCAAGAACCACGTGTATCGCCCACTGACCGTAAATGTGGCAGTAAAACCTAGGCACAAAATAATTTGCGATACTCAATATTTCCTGCTTTGGCGAGGTTTACCTGGCAGTGCAAACAAGACAGAGCTGTTTGTGCCTTAGTTTAGACCTCGCCCTGCTGACTTTGTTTAAGCCGAGCTGTGCCCAGGCTTTCTTAGCGTACACACGACGTGCCCCTTTGGGAATGAATACGCTGAAAGCTGTGCTTTTCTTCACACCCAGGCGCGTGTAACAGGAATGTTTACTAAGGATGACTGCTCTTAGTAATCACTCCAAAATTTTCAAGTGCAAATGCCAACTCAAAGTGGCCTCCTTTGCTGTCATTGAACTAGCCCTTCCCCAGAGCTGCTCTACGGGAAGGTAGGACGCTTTCTCCCAAGCTGTTCAGTGTATTTTTGGGGTAGTGTTTTCCCTTGTTCTCGAGGGATTCCTTTAGGGAGTAATCCACATTGGCTCTGCCTCAGAGCTCTGGGGTTTCTTATCTGTTCTGGGCTTTTCATGGTTGGGAAGATGTGCTGTGCCTGCCAGAGCACGTGGTGCTTCGGGTAATGGCGCAAAGCCCCTGGCCTGTAGTGACCTGGCAGACACATGTAAGCCCTCCAGCCAGAGAAAATGGAGAAGCTGGTCTTTGGCATAGCAGACCAAGGGAAACCTCTCACAAATCCACTAGTAGCTTCCTCTCCGCTGGTACGGCTAAATAGCCACTCCACGCCTTCTGTGCCCAAGCAAGGAGGAGATGACCCTCCTACAGAAATCGTTGTGTTTCCCCCACAAGCATCTGCTTGGGTCTGCCCCAGAAGCACTGGCAGCCCCCTCCCCACAACATCCCTGGAATCCTCCTTTCCCCCCCCCGCCCCAGAATCATAGAATCATAGAATCACTTGGTTGGAAAAGACCTTTAAGATCATCGAGTCCAACCTTTTACCTAACCCTGCCATCCCACCAGTAAACCATGTCCCTAAGCACTAAACCATGTCCCTAAAAGAAGAAGGTTTGGTTAGGTGGCATGTGGGACCAGAAGAGATGGGGCTGGTTAGGCCTCGGTGGCTGAAGTCTCTGCTCCAGTGGTGTTGCAGGGAACATCTGCTGGTGGGACCAAAGGGTGCCGCGTGAGACCCAGCTGCACATCCACCTTCGAGGACTAGGTGGGGCAGCTTTGGACTCTGCCTCACCACATTTTACTCTGGGGATTGTGCAACACCGCTGAGCAGCAATGCTTACCCTGTGGGCTAGCAGATCACCTGTGACTTGGCAAGGCAAGGGCATTTCGCTGCTCTCTCCTCACACGTCTGTGCAAACCGTGGCCACTATCAGTGAGCGGAGGCTGGTTTTAAGGCCTTTACTCCAGGATCTGGTGAAACTCATATCTTCAGTTTTCTAACGGGCCAAAGATAATGCTTGAAGACAGTCAGCCCCAGGGCAAAATTCCCCACCCTGCCTCGATCATGACCTCAGCCATGTCTTCACTAACAGTCCATCCTCCTTTTCTCTTTCTTTAAAATACTTTACAGTTTAAAATCTTACAGTATTGCACTCATGAAGAGCTAAGATCAAATATATATATATATATGTAAAAGAAATGTAGTAGTGCGGTGCTGAGGTTGGGATGAGCTATAGAAGCCATGTGTAAATTTAAGCTAGTTGTCGTAAGAATATATGATATGCTTTTGGGTCAACTGATGGTCCATCCAGCCCCACATTCTGCCTCTGACAGCGCAGTATGAGATACTGTTTTGAAAGACCACATGAGTCTTTGACAGACCTCTTTTTGGCCATTCGTCCTTCTTGTGTCCACGCAGGCATTCACACTTATGGATTAAGGATATTAGATATAAAACTAAGTCTAGGATGGGTGTTCAAAGTGGTGAGGGTGCCAGAGATGCCCAGGATCTCATGCCATGAGGATTGCACTAGCAGAATTGGCATGAACTTCCTGAAGGCAGCTTCTTTCCTGAGGTTTTCACCATCTTAGACCAAAATCCTGTGAAAACATCCTCTGTTGTGATTTTTTTTCCTAGCCTTTACCTGCTATATAATTTCCTTCCAGCACTGGAGCTGCCCTAAATGCAAAACTTTAAGGGACTCTTTTAGATTCGGAAGCAGAGGCTGAAAATCTCTTGGAGTTTGAAGGAGCTCAGATTTGATATTGTGCTCCTGACACATCATTAATTTTAAGATTGTTTTCCCAGCAAGCCTAGGCTTTCCGTTCCCAGTTGAAGATCATTTACCATTGACTGAATGGTGAATTATAGTAGTGGAATGAGGCAGAGAAATATGTCAATATCAGATATAACAACGAGCCGTCAGTCAGATTTGAACCGGCGCCAATCTATACAATCCTAGCCTTGAAATTGTTAAAACAAAGAAGTTCATTACATTTAATGATCAAGTGTCCTTCGGATTTCTGAGGAGTTTATGTTAACCACTTATATTACTCAGCTCTAATATAAATGGCAAACTCCAGGAAAATCCTCTTAAAATTAAATTGGAAAGTTGTTTTGTTTTATATATATCTATATAGTTATTTTGCTTCAAGGAAGTATCTGCTTTCCAGACATCTCTTCAAACAAATCATGTCTGAACAGAAAAAATAAACAAGGAATAGCTGAAACTACAAGGTTTTGCTGTGTGGAAGAGCAGGGAAAGGAGTTAAAAAAAGAAAAAAAAAAAAGGTTGAATTTCCTGAAAAAGTGCCTTTTTTATGCCATGTGGCTATCACGTTGCTGTCTACAAAGCAGGGCCTTAGCACGGTGCTCTGATACAGCAGGTTCTCCAATCTGAGTGGACCTGATGTGCTGCACTCAAAATATTGGGGAGGATTTGGAGGGATGTGCTACAGTTTCTATGAGCCAGTTCAGAGAGTGTTCTGTTTATCATGCAGTGCCCAAAATGAACTTTGGGCTTGAAAGTGCTTTGTTTTTATTAATGTAAAGAAATAAAAATAATCATTTATGAGGCAGTCAGTGGTATCTTTATCACCAGATATTAGCTGAGAGCAAAGGGTTTATAAATCCAACCACCAGTGAGTAAAACTGGATCTCCCCCTCTCTCACTCAGTGCAATCCACCAGTGCTTCAGCAGAAAATAAACTCTATTTATCCTTAAAATAATTTCCTCCATAGTGAGCTGTAGCAACTACATCAAATGTCATCGTTACCTTCCGATAGTTATTTCAAACCATTTGGCTTCATACTGTTGTAATTGAGGTGACTGTAGGCCATTGGGCCAGCATCCAAATGTGACATTTTTGGACGGATGCTGATAAGATTAATGACATTTTCCTTCTTGGATAGTATTTTCAGCGCTGAAAACACTACCGTGTCATGTTTGAACTGCATAACAACTTGACAGGCGTGCCAAGTGCTGACTGTAGAGTCTCCCCACCTCTGAGGTCCACTTCCTAAGCTCAGACCTGGCTCTCATACTTCGGGTCTGCTTATCTGTCTGAATCCACGAGGACTGGCAAGTCCTGATATAACATGCTGTTAGACCTGGAGGAGAGACGTCAGGAATTTGCGGCACAGCCGCTAGGTCTTTTTAAAACTCTGCTCACTGCTCCACTCGTTTCCAAAAAAAAATTCCTACGGGGAGGGAAGAGCACAGAGTGAGACTTGAAGGGGTTGAGTCCTAGAGGAGCAGGTTATGTTTCATTGCATCCTCATTCCTTGTAGCGCTGATGTGTGTATGTTCAGTCATCCCACCTCTTTCAGTTAGGCTGTTGATGCCCTACAATTTTTCTTTCTTTTAAAAAAAAAAATCTTTTTTTTTTTTTTTTCCCCTAGACCCCAGGCAGGCGCAGTCATCCCCACCATGGTCCTATGACCAGTCCTACCCATCCTACTTGAGCCAGATGACTTCACCGTCCATTCACTCCACAACTCCCCTGTCCTCCACTCGAGGCACGGGACTTCCAGCCATCACCGATGTGCCCAGACGCCTCTCAGGTAAAGATCGTGTTTTGCCTAAAACATTTATGCAGATAGGAACAGGACTGGCAGAGGCCACCTCTGTGGCCTCGGACAAACCTTAATGAGAAGAGCAAAGCTCAGTCGGTGATAACAGGGTTACTGCATGGCGGGCGGGGGTCCAAGTCCCTTTTTTCCTCAAGTGGAAGAGCTGCTGTGTTGCTCTGAGCATGTATCATTTGAATGGCTCTAGGTCCATTTCAGATCAGACTATTTTTTAATTGTGAACCTGATTCTATGAACAAATTATCTCTTTCCCCCCCCCCCCCCTTACAAAAGGCTGGTTACTTGCATGGTTTAAAGTAATTGTGATATTCTGTATTTCTCGGTGCTTTACTTCTGTGGTGTGCGTGATGTTAGGCATCCTGACAGATGGATGCCTTCCTTACTTCAATAGTTAAGGCTAAGGTTCGTTCTCCTGCATTTCAATCCAGTAGCTCAAGAAAGCCTATTTCCTTAGTTAATGTGTACTTAAGATGCCTATCAGAAACTAGCTGAGTCACTTTAGGATAAAGATTGGACAAATTGTGCTTTGGAATGATGCGGGAGAGAGGAAATACATTTAAGAACATAGACAAGACAGCAGCAAGGAACTGAGACTTTTTTTTTTTTTTTAATCAAACAAATGTACATTTACATACTGTGCAATTCATCTGTAATGGTCTCAGTGATAAAACCATCTGTGTGAAGTAATCTGATTGCCCCAAAGTAAGATAGAGCCTGTCATGGCACACAGTCACCTTGTATATCTTGCCAAAAATGAGGAACCTTAGGGGAGGGAGGCTCAGTATTAAAACTCCAACCTTGCAAGTGTGGAAATATTAGCAGCGTATGCCAAAAAAGCATGTGTAATGTAAAGAAAGCCTTTATGATTCATTAATGAAAACCAAAGAATCAGTCTTATTACATCTATTTTTTGCATGTTTGCAAGATATTATTATAATCTTGGATGCTGCTGCCATACACCTGTTTGACTCGCAGCCAGGTGAATTTCTTGCTGTCGTGTTTTCCCCTTCCACCAAGCTCACGGTGCTGGAAATGTTGCTCACTCCACTGAGCTGCAGCACTGACAAGCTGAACGTCAGCCAGCAGGCATGTAGGATTTGATTAGCATAGACTCCTTGATTTCTTTCATCTTGGAGGAGGGAAGCTTTGTTTCTCCCAACAAACAGCTGCAAAAACCTCTGCGGTCCTCGCGCGCGCTGCCTTCTCAGAGATGCCAAAGATCTCCACGTGGGCCGAGGGTTGGCGGGTGGTGGAGCAGGTTCCTGTGGGCTCTCCGTGCAACGCGCTGACTTCGTTCAAAAAACTTGATGGGCTTGATGCTGAGGAAATGCTTTGTTTGGCCCGAAACAGGTTCTCTTTGCGCCGGAGCCTCCTGATGGTCTGTGTTGTCAAATGGGTTATTTTTGCAATTGCCCCCAGCAATACCTCCAGGAGAGGCTCGGCTGGGACTGTGGCAGCTGTACCGCCCTGCAGCCCTTGCTTGTCTGTGTGTATTCAGACGTGAGTGCCTGGCATGTGGGCACAGGCAGAATGATTGAAAGACCTGGCTGTGTACACGATGTGGCCGCGGACTGAACTTTTCTGCTGGTACTCTACAGGCAGTTGCTTTCACGCTTCTTGCCCTTCATCTTTTGGGGGCTCGACCGACCCCTCCGCGATGCTCTTACCTTTTTCCCAGGGTGGGGATCTTGCTTCCAGTTAGGTTCAAGAATGAAAAAAAGGGACTTTGATCTTCAAGTTCCAGAGGTTGTCTGTGGTGTTTGCTGACATTCAGAAATAGAAAGCGGCGTTCCTGGGTGGAGGACAAGATCTGATGCTCAGGCTGCAAGGAGGCACGTTGCAGCCCCAGCTGCAAACCCTGCAGTTCCTCGCAAGGGTTTCTGCCTAGCAGTGCCACAGGGAGGGAGGGCAGGATCTGACCCCTTTTGTGTATAAAGTAAAGAGAGAAATGCAAGGTTAAAGCTGCCCCTTACAGCAACCAGTTTATCCCTCGCACATGGAGAAATGCGGATCTCCACTCAGTTATTTGATACATCTTTCAGAGGAGAACAGCTTTGGTGGGGGGAAAAAATGGCTGCTAAGAAACACTTAAAACATTAGAAAACTTCAGGCACCTCCAGTGCATGAGGGAGAAATTAGAGTTTTACAAGACCTTGAATAAAAACAAACCTTCCTTTCCGATACAGTGGCAGAAATCTGATTTTCAAGGCTGTTAAAAGTATACAAGGTAATTTAATGAATGCCATATTTACTGCCTGTTGCTTAACATCATACAGGAGGAAAAATGGGTAAAACTTCCCCCTTAGGCCTTGGACATCACACCTACAGGCACAGGACTTCCTACCTGCCACAATTTCACATCACCCAGCCTTTGCACAAGCCTCCATGGCTCTGCCTAGACCACTGCTTAAGTTGTGCTCACCTAGATGTTGAAAATACACCATCTAATCAAGCAATGTGTCCTTCTAAAGACTGATTCCTGGTTGTGTTGTCAGTGGCGGCCCTCAAGTGCGATTTTTGATGGTACTCCCATGACCAGAAACACATCCATGGCCAAAATGATGGTGTTCCTCCCCATCCTGGGATGGGTACATCTCTCGGTGATGAGGATGCTGTGTTTCCATCCCAGATTAGGTTGAGGATCAAAAGAGGTTTGGAGCTGTAGGAAAGGGGTTGACGGGGGACTGATATAGCAATTCATGCAGTTCTCCATCCCATGGGAGAGGGGAAAAGGGCAGCACGCTGCAACCCTGAGGAGTTACTGGGGCAGGCTGGTGTAATGTGGCTGAACTGGTCGTGGCAGTGTCTTGACTGATTTCTTTGCACACCTGAAACGTTTGCATGCGTGCTGCGGGCACGTGCAAATCAATGACTGCCCATGACTGTCAGACTTCAAGTACTCACCTTTTAGTCTCCAAAGAGGGATCAGAGCTGTATTTGCAGTGTCGTACAACTAATTAATGATGTGTCACACGTATCTGGGCAGTATGCAACAGCAACAGCTGAAAAGCGAAGCAGAAAAAGATTATCTGGCATCTCTCATGATGCAGATTTTGAAGCAATGATCTCTCTGGTGCATAAGTCTCGTGTTCATATCAAGAATAAATAAAAAATAAGCTCACGAGGCCATGCAGTTGGCTTACCTTATTGCACCAACTCAGTCATAAAAAGAGCAGGAGTCCCCATATTTTATTAAAATCTCTTGTCTGCTCAGACTTCCCCAGAAGACAGTGAAAGTTGGTGGCCTAGCAGATTAATATTCTTAATTAAATAATATCGTAGTGGAAACCATGGGAATATATGAACATGGTCATTTTAGAGAGAGTTTTGCCCGAGGGACATAGTCTTATTGCATGATTCATAGTGAATGCACTCAGTCTTTGTGTCCTATGCGTAACCAAAGTGCATGTGGGATGGGGAGCATGAGTGTCTATTATGTAATTAATGTATATGATTCATATAAATACACATCACAGCCGTTTTACATAAAGCTTTGGGACCGATCCAGCAAGTCCTCAGCACATGCAAGGTTCAGAGCAGGGAGTACAGGTCGGGCTGTTCCTGCAGGGGCAAGAGGGCTGCTCCGCAGCAGGTGAAGGAGGTCTGGGTATAGATGTCCCCAGGGTAGACATCCATATCTGAGACAGTCACCCTCGGCTCCCTTTTGAGTCAGTGGGGACAAACTGGCATTTGCAGGACGTGACCAGTCTGCGATGAGCTGTACTGGTCCCTGGCAGTGCCTTGGAAGAGCCTGTTTGTCTCCACGGGCTCTAAAGCAAGCCTAGGTGAGTGTTTCAGGTACAGGCATGTCTGATCTGATAGTCTGCTTTTGATGAGATGATTTAAGCGATGATTTAACTGTCCCATAAACATACCCATATCACAGCCTTGTTACACTTTAGTCCTGGTTTAACCCTGCCATGGTCTGCCTCACCCTGACCTCTACCTGCTCTGTGATTGCAGGGTTTGAGCTTGAATGTAATTTTGTTGAGACTACTGAGAAGGGAGGTGGGGAGACTTCTTCTTACCCTAGACATTTCCTGGACCTCCTCACCCTTCTGCCTAAACACTAGTCTCGCTTTTTGCTTCACCTTTGAGACAGAGGCTTGCAGGGTCAAGGTCTTAAGATGCTGGAGGACCTGCCCTGCAAGTGTAACATGAAGATGTTCAGTGCTGGCTGCAGAAGAGCCTGTCCTATGCAACTGTGTTTGACAAATGCCTATATGACAAAGGAGAAAATTAAAACCTAAACTAAATAGCAGGGCAAATCACCAAACCTACCTTTTCCAGCCCTGGGCTCGCACTCTTTGAAGATAGTTGTCAATTGGGGATGGTGGCCTTGTGCCACCATGCCCAAACTCTCCCATCCCACGCACTGGAGTCCCCACAGCATGCAGGGTGGATTTTGCTGTCTTTGTATTTTCTGTCATTGAATAGGGACACGCTGAGACAGGTGAGGGACACGCCGAGACAGATGAGGGACACGCCGAGACAGATGAGGGACACTTTGAGATAGATGAGGGGCACACTGAGATAGATGAGGGACATGCTGGGCTCAGCCTCTAAACAAAAGAAGTTTGCAGACCCATCCCTGAACAAAAATGGCTAGAAAGGAATATCTTTACCAACAAATTATACGGTGGTAGGGCCAGGGCTGTTAAACACCGATACTGTTAATTTGTCAGCGAGATTGGTTTTGAGTGGGGCTGGCCAGCACGCTCCCGAGCAGGTCCTAGCTGTGGTTTGGAAATGAGCAGATTCCCAAACCCATTCCCATGGGCAGTTCAGAGGCAGCCACCTTGTTGTGGAGGCTAAAAGGATTTAATATTACAGCTGTGGCCAGGCCATCTCGGCTGGGTTTAGAGCCAGAAAATGGTCCCTGACCCTGGGCTGTTTGAGTGTTGCCAAACTTTCCCGTTAATTCCTCTCACTCTGTAGATACCACCACATCATTTTAGACCATCCTGGACCTT